TGTTGCCATTTCAACTTGACTCACCCTTTTGTGGGCAAGGCAGGGGTACAATTTAGAGAAGGATGTTGCCATTTCAACTTGACTCACCTTTTTGTGGGCAGGGGTAAAATTTAGAGAAGGATGTTGCCATTTCAACTTGACTCACCCTTTTGTGGGCCATGCAGGTTAAAATTTAGAGAAGGATGTTGCCATTTCAACTTGACTCACCCTTTTGTGGGTAGGCAGGGGTAAAATTTAGAGAAGGATGTTGCCATTTCAACTTGGCTCACCCTTTGGTGAGGGTAACATTTAGACAAGGATGTTGCCATTTCAGCTTGACTCACCCTTTTGTGGGCCAGGCAGGGGTAAAATTTAGAGAAGGAAGTGGTCATTCCAAGTTGACTCACCCTTTGGTGAGCCACCCGAGGGTAAAATTTAGAGGAGGAAGTGGCCGTTCCATCTTGACGACCCTTTTAACTAAGCAAACATCCGGGAAAGGGCCTGTGTGCGCACTTGAGTCTCCCCCATGGACTGTGTGCGCAGATGAGTAAAATCTGTGTGCGCAGATGAGGCGCAAGTGCTAACAAAATGTGTGTGCGCAGATGAGCCAAATCTGTGTGCGCAGATGAGGCGCTGCCCTGCTTGGCGGTGTGAATCCAACTTAAACATATGACATATGGCTGGAAAGACACAAATAATGTCAAACACATTCCAACAGCAAAAGTGCCAATGTTGCCTCCAGAGACATTTTTCAAACAAACAAGCGTTTGGTGTTGTTTTCTTTCAAAAAAGGTAGTTTGTGTCAGCAACATAGTATCAAAGCACTTATTTCATCTTGGAAATGGGAGTGTTTTCTTTGGAGGCCACATTTGTTGTCTTTGAAGACCAAATTGTTTTTGGATGATGTTTTCCCACAGTTTCGGCAAGTGTTGTCTTTGGAGACGGCATGTTGTGTTTGGAGGCCGCTTTGGTTTTCTCAGCGTGCCTACTGAAAGCAGTTCAATTTTTCATCAAGTTGGAATCATTTCAGCAAGCCTTGCCTAGTAAAACCGCTGTGGTTGTCACAGCGTGCTTACTGAAAAAATAGATCAAACTTCAACTATTTAAGCAAACCCTGCCTTTGGAGACAAAAATGTTGTCTCCGGAGACTGCTTTGGTTTTCTCAGCGTGTTTACTGAAAAAATGTTTACGTTCACATCAAAGTTGAACTATCTAAGCGAACCTTGTTTTTGGAGACAACATTTGTTGTTTTGGAGGCCTTTGGTTTTTGGAAGGTGTTGAGATAAGTAAACAAGTCAATCAGTCTTAGCCCTCTTGGGAGGGAGGCCTGGTAGGACAGACCCTGCTGCAGCCTGAATGAACAGGAAAGAACATGCTGGATAAGATGGACTGTGGGGAGTGCATCAAATCCGGGTTTTCTTCCAAGAAGAATGCGCTTGGTTTCCTAACCTTCGTTCGGACAGAATTGTTTAACCCATTTATTCTCATTGGATCGCATACCCTCGCGAAATTTAACAAAAAGGACTCCCTTCTGCAAGATTGGGGGGTCGGCAAATGCATTTTGTAAAGGAGTGGTGGAAATTTAACAACGCGGTAAAACCATTTTGTACAAACCAAATCTTTTTGGACTAAGGTACTGTGCACTAAGGATGGGCCCACGATGGGCTTGGAGCTCTTGGAGGAGGTGCTTTGTTGAAACATAGGGATCCCACCGAACAGGTGCTAGCACCGAACACGTGGTAGCACCGAACAGGCGGTAGCACCGAACAGGTGGTAACACCGAGCAGGTGGATTTTAGAGTAGATTAAGTTAAACAACTTTTATCGAAAAGATCTTCGGATCCACCTTTTGAATTGGAACCAGCGTGACACCGCACAAACATATCAACGTGACAACAGGAATCATGCCAGTGTAGCAGCGTCGCAACACGTCAGCACCTCAGAGAAACATTGCATACGTACCGGTGTTATAATTAGGGGTGAGGGGTCAGACCCTACATTTTATAGTGCGGGCACGCAAACAATATCAAACAATTGTAGAAAATACAAAGGCGTAGGCGTAGCCAAATCCCAGGCATACAAAATGACAGGCCAACATGCATTTTTTGTCCACTAGGCCCCATCAATCTATAGAAAATGTTTCTTCAAACATAGAAAATGTTGCCGCAACTTTCCTTTTTTTCAATTGCTTGGACTTGACCGGACCTGGGTTCAGTTGATGGTAACAAAAGGCTTCAGCAAACCCATTGATTGAGGTACATTTTTTGGAAAGATTGGCGCATTACCATCAGTCCATGCCAGCACGCTGACATGTTGAGAGCGGGTTCTGGAGCATGCCAGCTGGTTCTTGCTTGTGGTGGCATTGTTGTGCTTGCGCATATTGTGCTTTGCCGACGTGTTGCAGTGTTGGCGTGCTCACGTGGCACATTGAAAACGTTCGCCTGAACTTGCCAATGGCGCCATTGTGATCTCCACCTGTCGGATTGCTTTGGTTTATCTAAAACCGAGTGAGCATTGCCCGGTTCTCTCGCAAAATGTTCTTGTCTGTGGTTTTCTCTGGACAAAGCAGGTGCCCCTCACGTAGGTATTCGGTGACAGGCGAATTTCCCTGCGCTACGTGCCCTGGGAGTGAAGAATCCAAGGGCACTGGTTCACCCAGGCTTTTGGCTCCAGATGTCGTTGACGTGAAAAAATATGTGAGTCACAACAGCCCAACCACAAGTTCAAAACCGTGTGGGCAAAGCAGGGTGAATACCCACAGCATTTGGATATAGCGGGTATGAAGACACCAGATTCTAGATCCAGTTGTTTATTGGGCGCTGCGGTCATGGCAGCCGGCGGGCCGGCCGCATGGGCCTTGGTTTTGGCAGGTTGCATTTACATAAATTTGATTTGTGGCTGGTCCGATTTCAGGCGGGCAGGAACGTGAACCGTTCACGCTCTCCGTTGCAACCTCAAAATCCTCAGGGGATGCTCGAGTGTCGAAGGGAAGAACACTGAGAACATATTTTTGCAGCAGACCGACTCCGAGGTCAGACCGGTATATCATTCCCAGGTTGTCGTTGTTGGCAACTTACCATTGCATGCAGGGGCCGTGTTTGAATTGGCATGCCCACATATGTGGTCAAAAGAACACGTAGGCAGAACAGCCTCAATGATGATGCGGAACTCTCACCCAGGCAAGGCTTGGTGAGTTTTGCATGGAGACGTTGCTGGATCTCCATGAGTGATGGGAACTGTTGCAACGAATTGGCAGGGCACCCCTCTCTCCACGTCGGGGTCTTATCTTGAAAAGGTTAGGGGCAATGCCGGTACAGCGACTGACTTTGCGTATGCCTGCCGAGTATCGCTTTGGCATCTTGTTTTCAAGGGCAGTGCGTGTTGGAAGGTGGGAGCGTGCCAGCTGCACCTTACATGACGCCTGGGACTCCGCGAGGCGATGGGGTTGCGAAGTCCGAGCCTTAAGAGGTCTATGAAGTCACCGCGAAGCTCCCTCGGTCGCTCGGCACTTGGTGCGCGACCAGGCCTCGGACCTCTCCCCGCTTCGGCCCGCGAGATGAGAATCACGAGAAACCACCGAGCCAAAATGGGAGGCCAGACATTTGCATTTGATCACGTCGGACCCCGGACTGGGCGAAAGGAAAACCATTGAATCTGTGGAGGCTTCAAGAGAGCGAACGCACTGGCAACCTTTTGCAGTGTTGATTTGCTCACCGGAGGCTAGCTCCTGGGAAGCGAGGCGGTGGGTTTCAAATCTTGGAGTGAGCAGCAGAATGCCACGCAAATTCAAGATTAATTAACTCATAGTCACATTCATGTAAAGGGACATGGTATGACGAGGTTCTGCAAAAGCTGCGTGTCAGAGTCCAGCAGTTACAACGGAGTGCCTATTGGAGGATAGGGGTGTCCATTATCCACTCACTTGGGGACTAAAAGCCTCCCTTTTGTGACTCCTGGATGACTCTGACTCTGTGACTTGATGACCTCTGAAAGATCCGGTGTAGGCCCCGCCCTTTCAGCTCGTTCCTCGAGCGCCTCGAAGATCCGCACAGTGGGACCCTCGAGCTCCGCGACGACAAGTGGGAGGGACCCTGCTCCCATGTGCACCGCCGAGCCTGTCACCATCGGCTCAGGCGTTGAGGGAACACTCGACCAGCTCAGATTGATGCTCAGCGGTGGAATGCAGAAGACCATGCAGTGGAATGTGTGACGTATGCGGCATAGGTATCAAACAAAAATACAAAGAGCATCAAGAAAAAAATAAAAACAGGATCAAAAATAAATAAAAAGCGAATCAAAAAATATTCCTTGATAGGCCTCTTCTGCTGCTCTCCTGGCCTTGTGGTCTGCGGGTCCTCTGGTAATGTGGTCCCTTGGTCCTTTGGTCCCTTGGTCCACTGGTCCTTTGGTCCCCTGGTCCCTTGGTCCTTTAGTCCACTGGTCCCCTAGTCCTCCTGTCTCCTGGTCCTCTGGTCCTGTGGTCCGCTGGTCCCCTGGTATCCTAGTCCTTCTGTCTCCTGGTCCGCTGGTCTTTTGCTCTCCTACGGCGCTCGTCTGTCGATCTCCTGGTCCCCTGCTTGCGCAAATAGAGGCTTGATTGCTTTCTACTAGAGGCAGCTCCCTGGGAAGAAAATAGGTACCCAACGATAAGGAATAGCTCCCTACTAGGAGGGGGAGGTACACTCTCCTTTACTACCCCAACCATCCGCAGTGGGCTAGAATATTTTTTTTTGATTACCTTTTTATTTATTTTATTTTTTTTTTTTTTTATTGATCCCCGTTGAATAGTTTTTTTTTGATTCTATTTTTATTTTTATTTTGATCCCTTACCCATCGTATGCGGCGCAATGCGGGATGTTGTTTTGTTGTCTCAAGGTGCGGCACACCACGCGAGAACGGAGGCCGAACCCCTTGCTGGGAAACAGTCCGCCTGCCTGTGCCTCAGATTCAACATGATTGAGTCAAGCTAAGCAGCTAAGAATGGTGCACGTCAACGATTGATGTGTGCAGCACACAACCCCAGATCCCATCAAGTACTTGGACGTTGACAGTGGATCTCATTGCTTTCATGTTCCATTTGTCCCATCCACTTCAGACCCGAACGGCTCCAACGACCGCGTCCTGCACTCAACATAGGCTCGAAAGCAGCTGAGTCTCAGCTGGCTGTGGCAAACTTTGAGGCCCCAAGCAGCCTCGCCAAGCAAGGCTAATCAGAGACGCTCCGGCAATGGTTGATGCACCTGAACCTGCAGATGGTTTGGTTGCATTAGATGCCCGGCCAACCTATGGGAGACTAGGCGGGTGCATTTTAGTCCTAACTCCGGTGCGGCCAGGCCGGACCAGCTGTGGCAGCGCCAGCAGCAGTAGCAGAAGTAGTGAACACAGTGGCCTTAGCCTTTGAGTTCTTTTGTGCATGATAGTGCCAAACCACTACCACATTGTCCTTTGCAAGCACATCTGGATTGGAATGCTCAAAGCCTTTCCAAACCTGTGGAGGGGCTCCTTCAGAGCACCGCATGAAGAATTTAGACATGCCATCGCGTGCGTGTTACTTGTCAAGGCAGGCGCGCGAACCTTACATTCGCGAGAAACAGCTTCGTAGGTCCATCCCTCGGCGAGAACGGCGCCCTGCGGTCGGCGGCAGTGACGTGTGCCTCCTAGTGACCCTTTGTGAGTTAGTGCCTGCATCCTTTGTTCCTAGATGTTACTAGTAGCTTCTTGTTCCTAGTAGTAAGAATGCTACTAGTACTAAGGCCCTTTGCTGCTAGTAGCGGTGCCCTTGCTCCTAGTGGCCTCTTGTTCATGGGCCCTGCACAGTGTATGAATCCTTTGAAGATGTTCCAGTCGTCGATCTCCCACACAAGAGCATTGGTCCCATGAATTCCATTACCATCGGCCTTGACACCTTAGGCCAAGCACCAGCACTACATCCTTGATTGTGTCCTTTTCTTGGGGCGGCAACGGCTGCAGCCTCTACTTCAGTTTCTGACCGCAGATGGGCAAACTGTCCAGGCCGTATGCCGGACACCGACCAGTCCCCGCTGGAGCCATGATCCTGGGTGCCACGCTGCCATACCGGATGTTTACTTAATGGCCATGTTTCTTCGAGGCAACGACGGCTGCAGGATTCACCCCAGGCTGGAGATACACTTGTTGGTGGAGTCGACAATTGAAGTGGAAGTCACTTGAGGAATTCCGATGTGTCATGATGTTGGCTTGCTCAGATCCGTGGCCATTAGCTTCAAACCCTGTCAAGCCCGCCCAACCCCCAGTTTTCAAACTATTTATGCTGTCCGAGTGTGAGCCAGAGCTAGAGGTTAGATCAAGGTCCGTACAAACCAGAAGTTCGGACCTTAAGCCTTAGGAGTTTGTAGGGTGCCCGGACCAGCCCTTGGATTGCACCGTTTCTTATTGGGCTTTTCCAATGGCGGCCGTTTCTCCACGGCTCCGAGAGCTGGTGAAGGCCGGTCCGTAAGCCGATGTGATGCGATGTGATGCGATGGTTTCCGGGCCTTGTGAGGCCACAGCCAAGAAGCTCAACCGGGACTGGGCAGAAGCAGAGCCGTTTCTCCAGCCCTTTGACTGAAACGTCCACGTTTTTTTTCTTTATGTTTTTTGACGCTTTGCTTTTGTCAGAAGTTGGGAGGCGGGACAGTTTTGCTCCCCTTCACGCAGGTGTCGGTATCGGTATGATGTGATCATTGCATTATTTTGCTTCAACATTTTCCCCCCCAGCATCCAGTCGGATTCTTGCCGCAGTTGTTTCTGTTAAATTCATTGTTTTTTCCTTTCAACAACCCAAGGAACTTGTCGGAGAACTGGTATGACACCGTGGACAGCCTGAAGCAGCTTGCCTAATGCTGACTCCTGAATGGTGCTGGCTGGGAAAGGGCTACTTCCGGGCAGGATTTGCATTGCCAGGCAAAAGGGCTTTGAACAATGCTTATCGGAATTACTTATCGGAATTCCGAGCCCTCCTACACAACAACATTTTGATCACTCGTTATCTGAAACGTTCCAGACGCGTTGTGGACTTAAATGCCGTGACGAGCGATAACCATTTTCCTCATTGCACCGGCTGAGGGTGGTCCAGGTGGCTGATTTGATGGCCTTAGGTATGCCGCAAAGGTTTGCCAAGGACAGCTGCAACGCAAGAAACTGCTCAGCAGATGCGAGGTCGAAGCGTTTCTAAGTCTAAATCTGACTTTCTGGGGGAGAAAAAAAAGGTTTGCTCTTTCAACGAGATTGTGCACTGTCAGTGCACAGTCCACCATTTGCGGGGATTTCGCTCCACAGGAGCTGCTTCAGCTTGCGCAGAGCGACAGCCAGCCCAGCGCGCCCGCGTCGGAAGCCCGCGAACCGGAAGAACCGCCGCCGGGGAGCCGAAAACGAGAGCGGGAGGAGGAGCCCGAGCAAAGCTGGCCACTTGGAGTGCCCAGAGGTGGAGAGCTGGGACCGTGAGCGAACGATTGTTGTAGTTTTTGGGTGAACATGTTCGCACCCAACAGGTTCCTGTTTCATGTTTCTTTTTTAAGCTTGACAGGTGGCGATGTGTAAGTGTGTTTGTTCATGGTGATGTTCAGATGTGCAAGATTCAAGCGCGCCGCAGGTGGGTTGGGTGGGGTATAGGGGACACATCTAAAGTGGTGGGCAAGTGTCACACCACAGGATTCATCTCTTGAAGTAATCTCTTCCCGCCACATTGCCATGGAGCTTCCCCTATACAGGCGAGTTGAGCACTTCAGCTCGCATGCCACAAGAGATACGGTAAACGCGTGAGCATGCTGGATGGCAACCAGGACCTGGTCGGTACCTTCATGATTTGTTTGCTGGAGGGCTACTTGCTCCTACTCTCCTAGCAAGTTTGTTGGGAGTGACTCCCAAATTGACTCCCAAACTTGGCAGAATGTGACATTTGCAGACGAGACATTGTTAATTACATAAACTTCATGCCTACCGCGAAACTGATCTGAGGAAAGACCGTGACTCATGGAAGAACAGCAACTCATGGAAGAGTAGTTCTTGGGAGAATGACGAGTCAGGCGAGATTTGGGTTCAAGTGGCGCAATTGCGGCGCAATGGGGCCCATCTCCTAACGGTCCCATGGGTTCCCAAACCAATCGGTTTTAGTCCGGGTTCCGTAACAAGAAGGGCCGGTGGATTTAAGCAAAGCACGGTGTCGGTGCCATCCTGCAAGCCGGATGGTCCGCTTAGCTTTGCTTTGGTGTTGCAGGGAAGGGCAAGGGGAAAGGCAGAAGCAAAGGGAAAGGCAGAGCAGCTTGGTGGAAGGAGTGCTTTGTTCAGCTTGTGTGTGAAAGTGGCTCGTTTGCTGGTGAGTGGTGCGATCGTTGCACATGAGCCGGTGCCAAGGCCAACGACTATCAAGATGGCAAGAAATGGGAGGACTGGAAGGGGGGCAGAGGCAGCTCGACAGCACACAGGAGGTTAGTTGGAGGCAGGCACATCAAACCACCAGATGTTCAGTAGCTTGCTTGTGATGCGTGCGCGGTACACATCAAATATACTGCAGATGTGTGGTCAATGGGGGGTTGGTAGTGCAATTGGGGCTTCATGCAAGGCGATGACCACCGTGCAAGAGACAGGAATGGAAGGTGGGATGGAGGTGATCGAAATGATGGAGGTGATCGGAGTGAAAGAAGCTTGCTGGTGATCTATTTAGATAAACCGCAGTGAGAGGCAAACTTAATTTGTATTGAACAAAGCATGTCATAATGTTTTCTTATTTTCATTGCGTGTGTGTGTGTGTGTTGTGTGTGTGTGTGTGTGTGTATGTGTTTGTGTCCACGGTATTTATGTTGCATTAAGGAGGCGGTGGCTATGATCCTAACTTACTGCCATCCCAAAGAGAATTCTCATTGGTGCACAAGATCACCTTTGACGACAATCTTGATGAACGCTTCCCGCTGGCTGCGCGCTTGATTGGGAAAGGCCGAGATTCTTTCAGCACCAATTTCACCGTCGTCCGCCGTTTCTAGGTGGACTTGGGTTCGTTGAAAAGGATAACGAAAGACTTTCCTGATTCTTGGTTTTGGGTTCTGGCGATGCAGGCGGCCGCAATGTCAAGCACATTTGCCAAGAAACTGGCGCTTGGGTTTCGCTGGCGGCACAGTGGGTTTGGCGGTTGGGCCCAACTGTTTTCCAATTGTTGCGTGCATAGCTGGGCGTATATGAGTCGCAAGAGAACAACTGCCCTGTTAGGCCCTTGTGCGTTCGACATGAACTTGCTTGTATGACAAGACCTGCGAGACATAGTCTTTTTCCCAGATAGCGAAGCTATGGGGTTCTTACTTCAAAATGAGTTGCCCGTGCGCGCTTTCGAGAGGTTGCTGGTGCTGGGTGCCGGTGCCGGTGCTGGTGCTGGTGCTGTGAGCTGGCTGTGCACGTGGTGGAAACAGGTTGCTGGTGCTGGTGCCGGGTGCCGGGTGCCGGTGCTGGTGCTGGTGCTGTGAGCTGGCTGTGCACGTGGTGGAGACAGGTTGCTGGTGCTGGTGCTGGTGCTGTGAGCTGGCTGTGCTCGTGGTGGAGAAAGGTTGCTGGTGCTGGGTGCCGGGTGCCGGTGCTGGTGCTAGTGCTGTGAGCTGGCTGTGCACGTGGTGGAGACAGGTTGCTGGTGCCGGTGCTGGTGCTGGGTGCCGGTGCTGGGTGTCGGGTGCCGGTGCTGGTGCTGGTGCCGTGAGGGCTGTGCACGTGGTGGAGACAGGTTGCTGTTGCTGGTGTTGTGCGCGCTGTGGAGGTGCCGTATGCAGGCTGTGCAGGCTGCGTACATTCTCGTTCCAGCCAGTCGCATGTCAACAGGTCGTGGGATTCTGCCTAGCTATTTGGGTCTATGCTGCTGTAATTATGGGCCCCTCTGAATATTTGTTTGACAAAAAGATCAGCTGTGCTGGTTTCACTACTTTAAATTTACCCCCGGCTGATCACAGCTGCGTAAGGTTTGGGTCGGCGGAAAGGGCTCTGGCCTCAAGGAGCATGGAGCTGCACGGCTGTTGGTGAAGCGGCTGTTTTGTTTCGTTGAAGACTAGTGATTTGGGCCATGAGGGTGAAGGATGTGCACAGAGGGGTGATCGCACAGTGACTGTACGGGTCCATATGTGAGCTAATTCTCGTAAGCATTCCGCATACTTCTAGGTCACGTGGCGGGTTTGACATCCTTTTATATGCATGTGTATATGCGTGTCTCCCCTTCAGACCTTAAGCATGACACAGGCTAATTTCTGCTTAGTTCCGCGGCCAGATTGCAGCTTGGCGAAGGAACGCCCAACCCCTGTTGCATGGATGCCACTGCATCAACGGCGAACATCCCCCCAAAAAGGCCTGACGTGACAGTTGCAAGCACCAGGAAAAGGATGGGCACGAGGCTGAGGAGCCACTTCACGTCCTTGTGAAAAGCGACGACCAGGTTGGGTGATAGTTCGACAATTGCAGGATGACTTGGGTGCAAGACAAACCAACATCCACCCACACAGCTTCTCTCATCATCCTTCTGGCACCGTGTGAGGCATGCCTAGATGAAGCCGTGCGCAGCACCAATGATCTCATCGACAATGTCCTAGAGAAGTACCGGGTTTGGCTGGACACCGGAAGCTTGCCCGAGGAGGAGGAAGCCTGTCACCTGGCCAAACAATTTGCAGATGCCATGATTTAGGCACTTCGGGGACTCATAAAGGCTCCTGGCAGGCATGCAGGACCTGGTTGTTTTTCGTTGCAACGGAAATCTACTGGCATGAGGGGTGATTCCCACGGTCGCTACGAAAACCCAACGATGTACCACTGGAGCTATGTTGAAACAAGACGTTGAAAACCCCTGAAGCTTGCACATAAGCACTGCGTTCGCTGAGCTGCATGCTCAAGTGTCGCGTGCATGGCAGCCAAGGCTACGAATGCGGTGATGTTGGGCACATTGCAAAATTTTGTCCTCGTCGCGCTCATAAGGGCAAGGGCAAAAGCAAGGGCAGGGAACCAGAAAACAATTTTAACGACAAGTGCTGCTTGGATTGCACCCGGCGTGAGGAGCATGCAGTTCACACATACCATTTCATAGTAGTAGCTCACGCCAGACAGCAATGGAACTGGAGATTGGAACGAGTCGCAATTGTTCTGAGGTTTCCATTGCGGTGGATTTGGCCACCAGGCAAAGTTCTGCCCGCGCAAAGACAAGGACGAGCAAGAAACCTGTGCCTGGGATGCAACCATGGAACCCTGAGCAGAATCATGTGTGATTCTTTCGAGTGTGCATGTGCTCGACTGAAGGTTTTGAGTGTGGCGAGACTGGCCACCTTCGACACTTCTGTCCGTATAGAAACGGCAAGGGCAAAGGCAAAAAAGGAGACAGGAAAGGCGGCAAACGCCGCTGGGACGATGAATACGAACAATCTTCGAAATGGGTGCAGTAGTGAGCGTTTTGGGTAGGATGTGACTTATAGGCAGCTAATTGAATGGCGCCAAAGTAGCTGCAAACTTGCTCGCCAGAAAAGTGGTGCTTCGTTCGCCGAGGGCCGAAGGATTACGATTTTGGGAATAGTGGAGCTTCACCAAAGGAATTCACCAAGAAGGAGCAAGGACGCTACTAGGGGCTCCTGGCCGTACTACTAGTAACAAGAAGCCACTAGGAGCAAAGGGCATCGCTACTAGGAGCAAGGACGCTACTAAGGGCTCCTGGCC